AAAACTGTAGAATATCACTACCCGTTACACATCTTAACATTTTCAGCTCCTCCATTATGAATTTGTGTCTTCATACTCAGTTTTTCAACATTTTCATCTTTATCTGCTTATCAGGCATTAAGTGAAAACAGTAAAAGGTCATAGTCACTGGGTAACTATTGATGTAATTGAAAAAAATAAGGACTATTTGAAAGAAAAAGATATATATGATTGGAAATTGAAATAAAAAATGAAGGGGTGAAAAAGCACTAAGATCTTCATATCACTCTGATATGAAAGTGTGTGAATGAAGAACATTATTGCTGTTTGCAAACAAATTATGTCTGCCTGGATAAGAAATGTCAGTTGCAAATTCAAACTACAACTGTGCTGAAAAACAGTTTTGAATGAACTCTTTTATTAGTCCTTGAATAGTAATTTTGCCAAATCCAACACAAGTATACAAATATTGCTTTATTTTCAGATACATTAACAATTACCAGTATTTGGAAGTAGCTGCAATGTGCTGTAGAACTTTCAATAAAACAAAGTCAGAGGTTTGTCCCGAGATTCTCACAGTCTACAGAAAGACAATTTAAGAGAATAGCTCAAGATTAAGTTTGATGCAGCACATTCAGCACTGCATGAATTTTCAAAGCCAAGAGAAAGGAAAGGAAAAGATTTTGTTTTGTTCATAATTTCATTTATTGCTAAAATCAAAGGACTGACTTTGAAAAATAATATAAAATATTCTTAGAAAATAATTAACTGAAACAAATTCATTGGACTTCACACACAAACCATAAGAATGAAAATGGTGCTATGCTCCACTAATCTTTCTAACATAGCTAGAAATTTTTGCTATTTTTACTGGAACAGTGACAGCATCCATTGATGAAAGCTCATAAGATCATTTTAGCACTAAAAAACCATTACACAGAAATAATAAACATAACATAAAGCTGAATTGTCACTGATCTTTCTGCTAGGTTTACAGAAGTGACATTGGAGCACAGTCATAGAGACACTCAGATGGACAGTCAGTCTTTTGCTGTGCCTTTAATCTTAGAGCAGCTTATAAACTTGATCCATTCAAAGCATAGATCGTAATGTTTTCTATTAAGCTTCCAAAAAGTGTTACATCCGGAATGTAAAATGCCTGTAGAGACATTGTAGAAAAGGTTCTGGTGTGATTCAGCATGTAGGTTAGATGCCCTTAGCTAGACAGTATGATTAACTATTTCCTGCCTTTGCTCAACTAATATCTAACCCTATGAGTGGCCAGAGCCTGCATTCTGAGTTTATTCTGGTGGACTTCCATTACCATCTAATGATTTTATTTTGCTCAGAAGTATCAGTTTTTCTGCCATTGAGCAATTTGATATCTGTATTTAGACTCTACACCTTAAGCCTCTGATTTTACAGTTGTGATTTTACAGTTAACTGCAGCTGATACCTAACTGTGAAACCTGGTTTTCACCATCTAATGACCCCATAGTGCCTATTCTATACTTTCTGAGAGCTATATTGCTGAGGAGCAAATGTACAGGCTGAAAACTGACACTGGAAATAAAGAATGTTGGTGTGCTTTTTTCTGACTTCACAATTTCAGTGCTTAGTAAAGGTGAATGTAAGAAGACTGCAGTGAGCATGAAGGTAGCTATGTCTCAACCACACGTTGTGAGCCTGAACCCAACTAGAGTCCAAGATTGCACCCAGTGCCCATCACAGCAGTTTTCTTCAGACCAGGACTAGAACCCAGGACTCCCCTGTCCCACTTGCTTAGAAAATTCATGTTTCAGAAGTGAACACTGGAAAGGTTAGTGAATAAACTTTTCAGACTTTTTTAATTATTACTGTAGTTCTTCTGTTTAAATTGCAGTGAGAAAGATATATGAGGGCTGCTCTGGAAGTAATGTGTCCTATTTTATTGTGTTGGCTCAAAACATCAGAGAAAGATGTTGGTGGTATGCCAGTAGAGATTGAACCTTCCCATCAATATCATTACATTTGTTGCCATACAGGGTCAGTCTGACAAAATGGTATCTGACATGGAAATGCATATAAAACAAAGACATGGAATTTAAATCCTCCACATGGAAAAAAAAATGGCACCCATTGACATTCATCAACACTTGCTGGATGTTGATGGAGAGCATGCAGTGGATGTGATCACAGTGAGATGGTGGGTAGTGCATTTCAGCAATGCTGACAACAGTGAATCACTTTCAGTGGTGCATATTTTTACAAGCATAGCATGCAGGCTCTCGTTCATAGCTGGTGAAAATGAAGAGCTAATGGTGGTGACCTTGTCAAAGAATAATGTTTTGTAGCTGATAATTTGCTCTATCAAAAAGTGCTACTGTGATCTTTGTGTCTTTGTCTTGTAGTTTCCTTGGAAATAAATAGGAAGCATTAATTTTAAAGCAGTCTATATAGAAGAAGCACAGTGCTTCTTTGCTAAATACAGAAGCAGAGTGTGGATAAAGTAGGGCAAACAAATTATAATCAGGAGAGGTTTTTAAGACTTTCTAACCATCTTCCAGCAAAACATCTGAAACAGTATAGGTAGAGCTGACTAACCTGAGGTTGTACAAGACAGTAGATGTACTCCTCACACTTTCCAAATATTGGAGTTCCAATTCCAAGTGTTCCTTGAAAAAGGATGACAAGTTTGAGAGGTGGACCAGATCCATGAAGCAATGATGCATATATATGCTCACCTGACAACAAAGAAGGAAATGTATGTGTTCATCACAGCAAAAATATTACATAACCTCATGAGAAGTGTTTAGCACAGTGATAACCTGTCTTTTTCTTAGGTTGGCCCCATACTCACACTACTACTACACTAGGAACCTTCTCCTGGCTCCTACTGGTGGTTTTCATATACACACATCACTCTCAGACTCAGAGTATTATATCCAAGTCAGTCAGCACTGGGACCTGGGAAGTAGTGGAGTAAAGACACATGGAGGATAATCACAGTAAACCTGTTTCTGTCCTGCTTCTGTCTCCCGTAATTCACCTTTCCTGAGGAGCCAGGATGATGGGGGATCAATAGAGACCACAATCAAGACAGACTGTGTATTGTGCCTGTACTCATTCTTTGAATATAATGTTATGTGAGTTGAAGATATAGAAGTAGCACTACAGGAAAAGGGAAGATCAAGCCAATAGATGAAAATGAATGAAGCATAATTCAATTTGTAGCACTGCCCCTTCCTTCCCATACTCCTCTTTGGCCTCAGTGCTGCCTTGCATTAAATGAAACAGAAAGAAAAGTATTTTCAGTTGCACAAAGAACAGAACTGCTACTCTTTCCTTCCTTCTTGTCAGTCTCCAAAAGTTAATGTACCTGGTCAAGGAGAAAATAATGCCTTTCTGCTGAAGACAACATGTACTGAGGAACAGAAATTTTAGAACTGCTAAGGGATAAGAAAACAAATATCTGGACTGAAACCAATACATGGAAGAGTTGTGAAAGGACTGTGCTGTCATTCAGCATGCTCTGCATGAGGGAGTTTACCTGTCATCACAGGGAGAAGTAATTTCTACTGGATATTAAAAGAGGAGCTGTTACTCCTGCAGATGCAGTTGCACTGAATGAGTCTACAGCAAAGCCAACACAGTAGTTATGTAGTAGTTACAGCAAAGCCAACACAACACATTATGCAAAGCCCAGGGTCCCTCTCTTGCTGTATGCCATCCTGGCAACCCCTAAAGCATCAGCAGCTAACAGGGAGCAAAGCTCAACGTCACCTGTTTCTTCCCTCCTCGAGACTAGTAAACTCACAGTCAAATAGAAGACCCAAGAGGAACAACTGAAAAGTCATATTGTACCCTAAATTACTTGGGGTTTATTTCTGAAGGAAAAAAATTCTTCTTCCTCAGTATTCAAAATGAAGAGCTTGAAAGGAAAGAAGTGCTTCCCATGACATCTTTAAGGGAGATCATGGAGAAAAGTTGTCAACAGTGAATATATAGAGCATGCAACACATGCTAAAGAGATGAGACCATGGTGTCAGAGTGTAGCTAGAAAGAGAAACGGCATTTTGACAATTGAATTGAGACCACCATATGCACTTAAAAATGTCATGGCCTTCTTCCCTGGTATTCACTCATCACACAAAAATTGTAACATACTACATTTATTTTAAAGCATTGCTGCACTTTAACACTGATTCCAACTCCCCTGGAGAAATGTTAAGTAATAGAGTGTTGATTTCTAATGTACTACATTACACTACATGGAAAATATGTCCAATGGATTTATGTATATAGTTCCTTTGTACTGCTTTAAACATTTTCTCCCTAAGGGCTCATATTCACTAACCTGTTTGTTTTTGTCAGACGTTCAAAATACCCAGCACCGCTAGCATGTTTATCAAGTAGGGTGACCAGGTGTTCAGAAACACTAGCAAAGACTGAGGTTAAATATCTCCCTTAGGGAAATATTTCTCTTCTTTACATATTTCATGACTACACGTTATTTTAAAGAGTATTGAACTGTCTTTTCTGTTGCCTTAACACAGCATTACAGAGAGCACAGGGAAACAAAGGCTGAATGACAGAGAAACTGAAAAACTGATAATAGAAAGTTTATATGATACCTATATATCAAACTACTTTATATGTATTAGTTTGATAGTTGGTTATTAGTTACCTGGCATAATATATGCCTTTACTCTCTCCTACTCCCTGATTATTTGTTTTTTAGCAATCATACCTAAGGTAGTCATATTGATGTGGCACAGATTTTCCTACTGAGAGCACTTTCAGCCATAGTGAGTTAGAAATTCATTAGTAAACATTTTCCTAGAATTTTAACTTAAAAATGTTTCCAACATTATTTTACTATAAAGAGGTTTGTTTCTCTCTTTTTTTTTCCTTCCTTTTTTTTTTTTTTTTTTTTTTCCTCTCCTGTGCTTTGGGGTTTTTTCCAAGAATGGATTTGCAGTCATAATTAAGAAATGTGTTAAACCTTCTGTCAATTAGCTTAATTGATGTAAAAATCTGACTGGGTCCTGGGAGGAATGAATTTCCCCAGCTGAACCTTATCAAACAACAGCTTAGCACAAAATGAGGAAGAAACCCAAATGCGAAAGACTGCTAGGAAAAAGCCTGTGATGCCTTGAGACAAGGTGAAAGAAAAATTGTGTTCAGGCTGCTGCGTAGGTGTTTTAAAAATAAGCCAAGCGTTTACTGAATATGTTCATTTTAGTGCATAGACTTAATATGATGCCTTTAAGAGCAGAAATGAAGCAGATATTCCCATAGGTTATAAGATTTATCAGGAAATAGCATCAGAATGTGGGAAGAATGGGGCTGGGAAAAAAAAAAAAAAAAAAAACAGAAAAGTGACTTAGTTTTTTTTGTTTCTCCTTTCTCCTGGAAATGCTGGTTATAGAACAGAGATAATGCAGAGTGTGTAGGGACTGTGATGACAGAGGCCTTAGCTATGTGATGTTATCAAGGGAATGGTGTGCAAGCTAATAAAAATATTGGTAATGATTGGTGCTGGAAACTTAAACCTGAATTAGAAAAAGCTGCTGCAAATTTGGGGGTCTGTGTAGAAAGTGCTTGGCCAAGTAATGGATTCATTCATCTGCTAAAGTATTTGTTTAAGCTATGAGTTTCTTCTTAGAAGAGTTTCTTTTCCTCCTGGTTTGATTAATTAAATGTTTCCTGGGAGGTAAATTTTATTTCTACCTGAAATTAAACAGAAATTCAGTCTCTAAACCAGGATTGGAGCTTGTGGTCCTAAATTCCATTCGGAATAGGGTGACTCAGTGAACTGGTAAGCCACTTCATCTTGCTGTACTTAGTATATATAGTTCACAGGAAAAGGGAAAAGTAATGTTACCTAACATACTCTGTAGCCTCATAAATACTTTGGTTTACATAGAGGAGAGAAAAATCATTCAAATTCCTTATTTTGTTTGGTTCTAAGATGTACTGGGAATGATAATTCAGGTCTATCAATTCTGATGGAGAAATTGATAAATAATGCTATGTGCAGATCAGATTCTACTAGGTGGATTTTATTGCAGTTAATCTAAATTCCAAAGTCGATCAAGAATTTGCTGTGTTAATGCATGTTCTGATTTCTACTAGTATACTCCTTCAGTGACAAAAAATACTTATGTCTCATCTTTTTTATTTTTTTTCTTCCTTTTATAGTGAGGTCAGAAAGATTAAGAAGGAACAGCAGGAAGCATTCTTCTTGATGCAAGTGTCTATACTGAGTTTTCTTTGACTATGTGTTTTAGTATTTATTTAAATAGATATTAAATTACAGCTGGACATAAACCTTAGGTGACATTAATTTTCAGTAATGTTGTACCATGAAATCAGAGCCTTTAAAGAGTGATGACCAAATGCTGTCAGACTGTATTTCCCATAAAATCTTTTTCACTGTGGTTAGTCTAAAGAGGAAAATATATTTCCTGTAGGTAGAAATTATAAACTGTAAGAAAAGGAAGAATGGAGCAACAAGTACAGCCTGTCCCTTTGTATCAGGTTCTGTCTCACTTGTATGTGTGCACTCACAGATGCACATCATATGTGGAAGAACTTTTAAACAGAACAAAACTAGCAAGTACTTCTGCCAGTTTTTACCCCAATTTAAAGGCAGGTGGGAAAGAGGGGGAGGGTTACCAGAAGGGAGTGGTTTTATAATTTCTGGAAGAAAGAAACCAAGGACATAGTAGGGTTAATACGGAGCGCAAACTGCTTTATGCACCATACAAATAAATGAACAACTCACAGAACTAGATGAATGCTATCCTACAACTAAAAGAAAGAGTGCATTCTCCTAGAGATGAAAGGCAGACCTCAAACATGGTCAGTAGAAAAAATGATAAGGGAAACAGCTCTTCATCTGTCCAACTGATCCCAGTTGAGGAGCAAATATTTGTACTAATTTTGCTAATATTAAGTAGGCCTTTTATCTCACCAAGGTTGTCTGGAGGAAGTAAACAGTACTTTAAGTTTGGGGATTTGCAGAATAATAATCATTCTACCCATGTGTTTTGAGTATGGTGGCAACTCTTTGAATCATAGGTGAGGAAAGTCCTAAAAAGGAACATCCTCAGAGGGTACTTCTATCTTCATAATAAGAGAGGGCCAGTGTGAAATTCAAGCACAGGGTGCTGATAAATTACATTACTTATATTTTGTAGCACTTCCACAAGCATTTTCACACTACATACTATAGTATGTGTACAACTGATATAGTGTTAACATTTTATCATATCATTCTTCTCAGAGAACTTTCCCAAAAAGTAGGATGGATGAGTCCGTGTTTATCTGCCTCAGGCTTACAGAGGTTCCCAGTGTTGTACCCAGATATTTCCTACCCTCGTGTACACCCTCAGGCCCTATTCAAGAAGCACAACGCATTTCTGAGTTTTATGTCCAGGAGCAGTTTTCAGAGTTAAAAACAAAATCAAGGAAATGTCTCTATGCAGACATCAATGTCAAACGAAATTCTTTTCTACTGTCTCTTCTCTGCCTTGCTACCTTCGCTGTGAGGAAAAAATTAGATGAGTATGATGTGGCATAGCCTTCTTGTGGTACAGCAACAGTGTACTAGAAGAGAAAGATTCACTCTGCTGGGCTGTGACACAGCCCTTGTTATTTCAGACACTTTGAACTGTAAAAAAAAATGAGCAGAGAAGACATCAATGCCTTGGAAGCAGTAAAACCCAGTGGACAGGGTTCATAGGAGGCTCAGTGAAGTGTTGCAGTCTTCACACTATTCCTGCTCTGGAGATGTGCCCAAGCAACATGGGCAATAGGCAGTCTACACAATTTGACCTTGAAACCACAGATTGGCCCTAGGCCTCTTCTGTTTTAGCAGAATAGACCTAGCCAGAGTACCTCTCCCTGCATCATTAATTACCCGAGTCCTATGAATGTACTCTGTTTTATGAAGATAAAGTATTTCCAGTTCTTTAGGCAGCACAGTGCCTCTGCTTCATTAGTGTGGCCCTATTCCATAAGACCTTTGATTTATGTCACTGTACAATTTCCTGTCATTGCTATCTCTATAGTTCACTTCTTTTAATATGTTCCATGAAGGCTACGTGCTGATACTCCCTACCTGTGGTGTGCAGCCTCAGTGTTCTCACAGCCTTCAGTGCCTACACCTGATCATTTCATAAAAGCAAGTGACTGGATTCAAGGCTGGGTGGTGATCTGCAGACATGAGCTGTGTTTGCCTCAGGCAACCTCCTGCCAGCAGTACAATGCTTATTTTGAAATTTTGTCTCTCTGCACATTTCATATGACTTCACAACATTCTGCAGAATAGAGTAGTCAGAAACATTATGCTCCTTAAAAAAACTAAAAATTAAAAGAAAAGGAAGAAATGAAAGAAAGAGTCAAGGTGGCACGTGACATGTTCCCTTGTTCTCTTTTCTTGCTTTTACCCTATTCCCAAATGCTCTTTGCATTCTAAAAATCCTATATATTTTGTTTCAAAGGTATACTTTGGCTTTTTTTTTTTTTTCTGGAGATGCAATTCCTGATATAATGTTTGAAACTTTTGAGATGTGCCTTCTTCCTTCATCTTTGTGTGTTAAATATTAAACTGAGATCTGGAGTAAGCTGGTTACTTCTCTCCTGGGATTCTCTGGATTTAATTTAGCACTTATATAAATAGCAATGCAAATTACATGTCTAGTGAATTAGGTGTAGTAATAATGGTGTGATACTATACTACTTAATACTGCATATGCAAATTGAAGGTAATTTGCTCGTGAAGAAAATAGTGAAAGAAATCATAGTACAGTTGAAATTGTACTCCACTGTACCAGAGTGAGCTAGATACTAATTGTAAATACTGTACTATTGCTGGAAGATTCTCTGTGATTCTTCCACTAAAGCAAAGTGCTTATTTTCTCCATTTGTAGAATTAATTTCTTTCACAAACACTACTATTTAATAAAAATGTTGCATATCAACATATGCACCATCTTAGAGTCACAAATCTTGAAGCCATAAAAAAATGCATAATTACCTAGTCTGACCTCCTACAGGCCATAGAGGCCCTCTGAATTAATTACTGTCTGAAATAAAATTAAAAATGCATGTAATCTTAATTTTAAAATGTCACACAGTAGAAAGTTCACCAAAATCCTTATTTAAACTTAGCTTCTTCCTTGCCTAAATTTTAGTTTCTAGTCCAGAAGTTTACATTTATCTAATAGACTGCAGTGTCCTGTCATTTGCAAGTTTACTCCCTGTTTTTATGTTTTGTGATGAAGTTATTCTCTTTTGCTTAGGCAACCTGCTTAATCTCCTCCAGATTTGCGAGCTGCTTATATTCTCCAGTCTTCCAGTCGTTTTTTGAACTTTCTCTTAGCCTTCTCACTTTGTTCTAGAGAAAGATTCACCTCAAATCACTAAACTTCAGTTATCTGAAACTTAGTATCTAGTCTAAGCTAAACAAAAAGGATCTTTTTCCTTATCTAAGAGAAAATACAGACAATTCTAGAGAGATTCATACCAATCTGATTTAGATAATTTAGATGCCTAAAGTGGGTGGGAAGAATTGTTCACTCAAGAGATACTTGGAGAAACTTTGTGAACATATTTCATATTCATGGAGAAGAAGGAAGAGAATTATAATTGTCGTTAATTATTTTCATGATTCTGGAGATGAAAATTTCTGGAAGCTATTTGGCAAATAAAACTTGTGAAGAAGTCAGACAGGGAAATTATGCATTTGAAAGTTGCGGATGTGGATCCTAAGCTGTTATCAGGGAAGAAACTCAATACTGAAACACTGTGCCTGACTGAGTCAGCAGCAAGAACAATAAGGTTGTCTTCATTGATACTGGACTCAATAAGACCTCAAGGTCAAGTAAATCAGAGTAAGAACAAAGACAAAAATATACCATCATAAGGACTACTGTGTTTGGTACAGAAATATAATGACCTAAAAATAAAGCTAAAAGGAACTTGTAAGGTTGTCTCCAAAAAAGCACGGGATTGTTAGGATGACTGTCAAATTCAGATCATAAGATGAATGGGATTTTCTATTTTGAGATTGAATGAAATGGCTTGACCAAATGATCAGGTTGAGGAATTCAAGGATCCAAAGAAAGCTTTGTGCTGAATGCCATCCGCCACATAAAATAGGTATCTTCATACGTCATCCAATTAACATGTCTGAATACGATTGAAACTTCACATATGTTTGCTGCCCAGTCTTAAGGTCTTCCTTCATGGCTAAATTACTGCATGCTGAACATTATTGTGAAATTCACAGGCAAGCATCCTCTCATCAGGCACATATTAAACTCCTTGCATGGAATTATGCACTTGGTGGCAATTTTGCAGACTTTTCATAAGAAATTCATTAACGTTCAGTCTTTCTGGGAACAGAAGCAGCCACCTGCATCTACAAATTTGCTGTTTTAATTGCAGAGGAACAGCAAGCCCCTGAAAATGTGAATGAAAACCTGTGCTTCTTCATCCAAAGCCTCAGCCATTTAAGAGAATGAACCAAGACCTCAAGATGACAGGAGCTTAGTCAAACTGGTCATTTAGACACAACCTGTAGCACCTCTGAAAATACGATGTTTTTGCTCTAGCAAATTCTGGGTTTGGAGTCTGTTTACTTGTTCATTTTTAGTTTTAACCTATTTATTCAGTATTATTAATGTATCTGATCTGTTTCAGACTTTTTGCAAATACAGACATTCTCACTGGACCAGTGTCAACTCTGGTTTGTAGACATTCAAGCAAAGAATCTACTTTATTTGGGTAGTGCATCCATATATCAAACTTTGCAAAAGGTACATTTTATCTATAACAAGACCTGCTGTCACTCCAGACCCCGTTTGCTAAATGTTTGGATACTCTAAATGCTCTTCATTTGTCTTGCCATAATATGTTTTTTTCAGACTCAATTTGCTTTTCCTCTAACTGCAAATTTATTCTGCTGTGTCTCTGCCCATCCACTGGACTTGCATATCTAATATATAACACCTGCTGCACATTTGCATTATTTTCAGATTTATGACTTATTATCCACTAATACTGTGTCTAGAATTTGTCTGTAACAAGAGCCCTCACAAAGATAAGGCATTTTATTTTGATTCTTAGATCAAACAACACAGTAATGCATAGCTTCAGATATTACAGTAACCTTACCTATGATGTGCATGACATTTAACAAAATAATAAAGCATAATAGAATGGAGCTATTAAGAAGCAATTGTTTACCTCTGTGGTGAAGAATTCGAGGGTCTATTCACCTATCTGATTAGTAGGAATTATCAAGAATTTTATGATTTAATTGAAAGTTTCTTGAGTTTGTGTGGATAAAATACAGCTGTCACTTTGCATTCTCTTTTATAGGTAGGCTAAAATTGGTGCCTAGTTTAAACTGAAATGTGTATGCAGTATTTATAAAAGTTGGAGTTTGACAAAAGATCTAAAATCTGTCAAGACTAATTCACATATTTCTCTGTCTAATGGTCATTAATAAGCTCCAAAATCCCTTGGTCAATTTTAAAGGGGGGCTTCTAAGTCAGGTTTACTTTAGAAAAACATTTGTCTGTCCCATTTAATTTATTTTCACTTGTGTAGATATAGACATAGAACAAATTTTTAAATTTACTTTATAAATCAAATAGCAGGATTTGGTAAAAAAAAAAACATCACTAGGTTTTTGTAAATGGACTATGGGAGTAATGACTTTTCACAGTGATTCATAACAGCAGGAAATGTATATATTTGCTTCAGTTGTCATCTCTATCATTGTGGAATGGAAAGTAGCTGGAATGTAATGTTCTGTAGCTCAAAGCGAGGCTCTTCCACACAAATTAACAGCTTTTTTGTCAGATTCTGTCTTCCCACCTCTTAACAGAGAGATATTTCCAAGTTTATCTTGTATTTCCAAGGAATTTAAGAATGATACTTTATTGGATATATTACATTTCACATTCCTATAGTAATATTTTTGTTTTAATTGGTTGGTTGATTTTTGTGGGTTTTTTTTTGTTTGTTTGTTTGTTTTTGTTGTTTGCTAACTTCACAAGTTATGCAGAAAAACAGGGCCCGCAGTGCTTCAGATGTGACATACACAATGGCACAAGAAATGATGAAGATACCAAGTGCACGTGTTGATAAGTGTAGTGGAAATGCTAAGTCACCCTTGAAGCAGTGGTGGAGCACCTGGTGGGAAGACTGGGCCAATTCAGGGGAGCTCTTGAGTGACAAGAAGGGATGTAGCCAGTGTCCATGCCCTCCCAGACACCATGTAAGGATTAGCAGTGGAAGGAAGGGTATTTTGAATTTCCTACCTACCTGAGGTCTTCCAAGGGAAAACAGATTTTTTCCTTATGTTTCCTATGTATTTGAGCATATCCTCACTTGCTGCAGCCCAGGACTTTGCTTCTCTGCTATTATTGTTGTATTTTCCATCGTTTTACAGCATTACAGTAAGTCACCTTGTTTTGCATACACTTTAATGAAGGATGGTTTCAGAAATAAATACAGTTCAATAATGTTGTAATCTCTAGCTATCAACTTGACAATGTTCTTTTATGTCTTGCCAACTAAAGTATCCTCCCTCCTGTTTATTCTGCCAAGGCAATAAAACCAGATGAAATTAGGCCACACTTTTCACTTTTGACACTGGACTGTTGGTGGAGAAGCACAAAGCATCTAAGAA